TTGATATATTCTGAATCTTTTTATTATATATAATTCTAAACGAAATAATATTTTTAGGAAGTATTTTTTTAAATATACATTTAATTGACAAATTTAAAAGTTAAATTTCATGAAAATACATGTCTATTAAGTAAATTTCTTGTTCTTTTATGATGTCATTTATTAGTAACTATATACATGTGATATTTCATTAAATGTGTATGTTCTTTATTTCCTAATTATATTAGTTAATTCGAAAATATGATGATTACCTTATTTTGCTATCAATTACTTGCACAAATTTATATGATAATGGTGATTTGAGTTAGAAAAGCCCAAAACTATTATCCATTTAGAAAACCACAAATATAATGGTGATTTGAGATTTAGAAAAGCCAAAGCTATTTTTTTATTTTATTTATATATATATATATATATGGATCTTAAAAATGTAATTTACTATATATATACATTTGTTTGTTTTTTCTATTAACAGATAAATAACACAGATGAAAGACCGTTTGTAGTTGATTACAAACCATTTTTCAGTTTGTTTCAATAGCGATATGCAAATTCAATATTATTTTCGTCTCGCTAAAATTTAGAAATCTATTAAATTATTTTATATTGTACAATTGCTTAAAAAAATTGACAATTTTTTGCAGGTTTCTATGGGATTTTTTTTCATTCATAATTGTTCTTCTTATTTTATATTAACTAGGTGTTTTGCCCGCACATGCGGGCATAATTTTCATATAATTTATTATTAATCTATATTTTATTAATTCAAACCAAAATAATAAGTTATAATTTATTATTTAAATTAATTAAATGACAACACTCACATAATAAAATATTTTTAAAAATATATTTTTACAAATGTGTTGCTTTAACTTATTTTAATTATAATTTTTTCTATCTTAATTTTTTATTTATATATTAAAAATATATTTTCAAGATAACAATATAATACATAAGAAGTATCTTATTTTATCAAAATATAATTTTTCATAGAAATTTGTTTTTATTTTATAATAAATTTTATCTGAAATTATTAAAAATATGACAAAGAATCAAAATTATCTAAATCATGAAGAAATTACAAATCAGATAATTCACTTAAATTTTCTAATAGAAAATATATGTTCAAGATAACAATCTAATAGATAAGAATTATCTTTTTTTTTTAAATCTAGTATTATTATATACATTCATTTTATTATTTAATAAATTATATATGAAATTATTAAAATATGATAAATAAGCAAAGTATAAAACCATGGAGAAATTGATAAATCAGTATTGCTTTTTTATATTTAACTATTAATATTTTAACTTAATTTTGATTTCTGTGATAAAAATATATTTTTAAGATAACAATATAATACATAAGAATTATCTTATTTTCTAAAATTATAATATTATTAATAGAAATTCGTTTTAATTATTAATAATATAATTTTTATATATTAATTTAAGAAAATATTAAATTATTAATATAAATTAGTTTTAATTATATTTAAATACTAAGTTATTAATATAAATTCGTTGTAGATAAATATAATAGTGTTTATATCTTAATTTAAAATTTAGGTTTTATATATAAAAATATATTTCAAGATAAAAACATAATTCATAAGAATTATCTTATTTTAAAAAATATAAGAGTATTAATATAAATTCATTTTTATTAAATAATAAATTTTATATGAAATTATTTAAATAAGGTAAATAAAAAAATTTACCTAAAATCAAGGAGAAGTTGACAACTAAGCAAATTTACTTCTTAAATAATAGTATTGATTACTTATGAATTATATTTAAATTTTTTATCACATTTTCTATGGGATTGTGATATCTATGAGATTTTTATCACATTTTTTAATATGTCACAGTCTCCTGTATATTTTTCTTACATTTGTTTTTTAATAGTTAACTTTTATTAAAACATACTAATGATGTTAATTTTTTTTTTTACTATAGTTAACTTTCATTTGTTTTATTCTTATATAGTTTTTGTGACTTTTTTGTTTTTTGTTTCAGTTGAATATTGAATTTAATTCACATACTTTATGTGTATATGTTTTAAAACATAATTTTTCATTTAAAAAATTAAGCGCAAAGAGCCTAATTAAACCGATCCAAAAACAAACCGAACTGAATATAAATGGAACTGGACATAAATCACACCGAACCAGACTAAATAAGGTTTATTTCAGTTGAAAATAATATATTAAAACCGAACTAAGCAAACCAAACCGAAAAAGTAACGATTTGCCCACCCCTACTGCATCCTAGAGATTTGCGCAAATCTTATCTCAACATATATTGAAATTCTCACTTGTTTCACTAACTCCCACATTTGAACTCAATAGATACTCCTGTCTCATCATTATACTATATTTTTATACCCGGGCGAGTCACCTAGTACATTGTAAAAATGCATTCATATATATAGAAAGCTATGCGAGAAGTTACTTCTTCAAACCTTTTTCTTGTTGATCAAATTTGTTGCTACGTCTTCAAACTTTACATGATTGCTTCAGACATATACGCAGCAACGGTTAGACTCGTGCCAGTATTCTAAAGTAAGTTTGTCAAGTTGCAACTAATAAATATGGATATATTATGAAATTAAATTCGGAGATCTATTGTTGCATCCATATTATAATTATAGTATTGGTCTGTCGACAGGCTTTTGAAGAATACACAAACACAAATTGTGGTAGACAGTCACGCCAAACTAAACTATTATACTGGTTAACTACATCATGATCCGCACAACCAGACGATTTTTTTAATTTTTATACTACTTTTTTAAATTTATATAATAAAATTTACCAATAATTTAATGTAATTAAGGGTATTAAAAGAGAATTAAATATCTTGTTAGGATATTGTTATGAAAATACAAAATAAATGTAAGAAATTTTCTAAAAATAGTCCATTTAAAATATCACACATAAAAAGTCATGATTTCTCTTTTAATAGTATAGACTAGGTTTTGATCCGCGCTTTCAAAGCGCGGATTTATGTTTAATACAAACTTTATATAATCGCATTTCCTATACATGTAGAATGTGGGATAAACTTTTTTAGTTCATTAATTTCATCAAACATAGTATTTTTAAAAATGCAGGATAATATTTCGGTGAAAATTTTATATGACCGCATTTTTGTTTTATATAAAGTAGACATGTGCATAAAATCTATAACTCGACGTCTAAACTCAATCTAAACAAAAAAAATTGGATTTGTAACCGGTCAAAAATCTAAAATATATCAGAATGAATTTTCTAGGGTGATAAAAAATATATCCGAATCAAAATGTTATTAGCCAGACCCGAACGAATAACCCAAAAACCAAAAAATCTGGAAAAAAATCTGAATCGATCTGATTGTCCAAATTAATCATAAATATAAATATTTGAAACATAAATATCTAGTTTAAATATCCAATTCTATATTTATTTTAAAATGATATTTACAACTAATTATCTTAATTTTAAATAAATACTTTAATATCTAGTTCTATAGAAATAAATATCTTTTTTTTTGTTTTGGTTTTAGATTTTAGATTTCTAAACCAATATAACCCGAATCCGAATGGTATATGGTTACTTTATCGGTTTTAGAATGTGTACAAATTAGAACCAAACCCGATGTGTTATATATGAATATGATCCATACTTACAACCATGTCTACTTACAAATTATGACACCTATGATGTGATATAAATTAGATTTGATTCAAAATATTCGACTTGTATCCCAATAAATACTTGAACTCTCAAGCATAACTTAAATTATGTTTTATATTTTGTTAAATTAATTTTATATTTGATAAATATTTTGTCTGTTTATTGGAATAACCCGTAAAATTATAATCATAAAATATATACATCTAAAATAATAACTACTATTAATATTTAAGTCAATCAGTGATATATAAATATATACATCAGAATAATAGTTACTATTAAATATAGTAAATATATTTTAGATGTATATATTAATATTAAATATATCAATATTTTAGATGTATATATTTCTAATATATAAGTGACTCAGTAGTATATAAAGAATTTGAGTCATTTGTCAAAAAAAAAAAAAGGAATTTGAGCCAATCTACTAATTGCTAATTAGTTTTTTAAGTTGGACGCTCAAAAAATTAACATGGTATCAGAGTAGACCTACAACTTAACCCATTAATTCAACCGGATAGTGGTCTGATTATCCCATTAGCTGATGACTCATCAAAAGTCTAGTTCCGTCTAAATTACTAGAAATTACTAGAAAAAGAACATTGTTTTGGAGGGAATATGATGGATTGAAATAATTTTAGTTTTAATGAATTTTGTATGATTTTGGTTTAACTAAGAGCTGCCATGATTTTAACTTAAATACTCTAAAATTCTTTTAAAATTCTGAGATTAGTTATATGAAGTTAATTTATATTTTAAATTAAGAAACTACATCAAACTCGACAAAACTTCATAAAATCCAAAACAATATTTCTAATAACAATGTATTTTAGAGTACATTTTAAAAGCATAAGTTAAAAATACTGATTTAAAGACTGTTTTAAAATATATGTTTGAATGAAAGAAAATTAGTCATTTCAATATAAGTCATTCAATTTCTCAGACTGAATGCGTCCCATAATGCTTTGGATTTAAGCTATCCCATTAGTTTGAATTTATATTGTCTAGAATAAGTAATCTATCTTTAAAGAAACATATTCGTATCACATCGTATGTAGAATAATATCCGAGGATAACCAAGTATTCAAAGACCAAAAATACTCTACTTGTATACAAAAATCGACATGTAGAACTTTCAGAATAACTAATGCTCAGTCAATCTCAATCAACATCGTTCTTTTTAGGTATAACAATAAGTCAATATATAGGAAGTTTCTGAATATATCCCACAGCCCAACCCTAGACCCTTATACTTCCCCTAAGTAATTTCTCAATCTGACTCCACAATCCAAAAAAAGACAAAAAACAAAAAACAAAATGGAAGTCCCGTTTCTAAACAAGAATTTTTCATCTTCATCTTCTTCAAATTCAAATTCATCATGGGCTTGGCCTTCTTGTCACCAAAACCCTAGAACCGTATCTTTCAGAGCCACCATTACCGCAAACAACCCTTATGACGTTGATGAGAAAGAGGAAGAGGAAGAGGAAGAGAAAGAGGAGCCACTTTTTTCCATCATCTTATCCTCCTCATCCTCCTCCACCCAATCCACCGTTGACGGCATAGAAGAGTTGCCAGAGACCGAGTCTATAGAGAATGTGATCAAAGGTATTAAACCATCAGAAAGACTCATCTTTGACCAAAAAGGAAAATCCAAATCTATACTCGAAGAGATGACGAACAAGGATACAAATCCTTGGAATCAATCCACCTTTTCTACTATTACAAATGATTCATGGTGGAGATGGTTGAGGTACACACCCTTCATCACAGCTAGAGAAGCCTCAAAATGTATCATGAAGACGACCAAATAGATAAATGACATGTACAAGTTTGATGTTTGTACGTCGTGATAGACGCGAGGTAAGCATGCACAATTGACGTTTGTATTGAAATCTATAAGAGTTGCGTCTAGGGAGACTGATACGAATCGAATAGATCTTTTCGGAGGTTTCATCTGATGCCATATGAACAGTTAGTATACTCGTGAGCTCTTCTTCTTTCTTTGCTTCCAGTGCGTGTGTGACTCATTCTGGTAATATATTTTTCAATTAAATATATTTTGTATTTGTCCCTTTGTCAATACAAAAGCTAAATTTTTTTCCGAAAGAAAGACAAAACCATCAGTTTGTGTAATGAATTAGTACAAATGATTTCTTCATCGATACTAATAAAGTGTAATAGTTATATGATAATTAGCGTAGAAGGTGATGGGATCCATGTACGGTCTATATATAAAATATCGATAAGCCTCGTAGGGGCGTACCATGCATACATGTGTTGATGCACATTACTGAAAAGTGTTGAATTCAGATTTGTTACGACTTTCAACTTAAAACCTAAAACCATTCGTTGATAACTGGACTGATCTTAGCATTTTATATATTAACTAAAATCCAATTGAATTTCTGATGTATGATACTGTATCTTTAATATTTTTTTTCTTAAGATGGTAGCTGTTATCAAATAATATTTTCATAATTAGGACGTTATACTTGCTCGGTCAAGTCTAATATGATAGTTATATCTGGTTGGATGATTAAGTATGACTTTTATACTTGGTCTGAATGGTTAATTAATTAGGGGTTTAGAATATTTAGGATTTCAGTTATATCATGTTAAATTCATATTTGTATGAACTTACAAATTAAAACCAATTAATGATAAGTATATTAGTCAAACTAACGGGATTAGATTAGTGGCATTTGAGAGATAATCCCAAATTGGTGAACCCATAGTTTGATTCCCATTAACCACGCGGATATGTGTTCTTGCTTTCGGTCTATTTGAATATCCGAGAAATATGTCTGGTTCTTTAATACACATAAATTTAACTCCTTTAGTTTACAGAAAAATATATTAACCCTAATATTTTATATATTATTTAAAATCCATTGAATTTTCGATGTAGGATAATTTATCTCTAATAAATAGAAAGATCTAAAGGTTTATTGTTGAGTCCATCCGTAATTACTTCCATTTTGTTATATATATATATATATATCAATAGAGAGGGACAGGGTATTTTTGTTTGTGGATCATATGCAAGCATGGCATCGACAAAGACCCAGTAATCCCTATTGTATTGCTGCTTCTTTTTTTGATAAAAGCTTGTAGTGCTGCTGTTGTTCTTAGTATCAACATATGACCCATCAAAGTTTTGGTTTAAGAAACTTTAATCATAAACGTAATTACGTGTGTTTCTTCTGCTGAAATATATATAACTAGGTGGTTTTCCCGTGCTCATGCACGGGTATAAGTAAAATTTTATAATAATTGATTGATAATTAGTTTTAGTTTTGTATCAGTTTATATGTATAATTTATATTAATAAATATTATATTATTCTAATTATACATATGACTTTGGATATATTATTATCGGTTTAATTATTTTTGGATCAATAGCCGGTTTGGTTAACAATTTGGTATATTGGATAATATTTCTTTTTCGAATTCAGCTATAATATTTTTTATTGAAAATATAATCAAAATTTGATTAATTTTCTTATTTTCATTTCGGTTGGTTATTGTCTTAGATATGTAAATATATTATAGTTAAATTATATATAAATTAATATATATATATATATATTGTGCTTAAACTAAAATAATTAATAAGCTGAAGTGTTTGATCTAAAAATTACATAAATGAATATACTGATAATATTTTGAAGTCTCATGCATATATATAAATTCTATAAAAGAATAAATTGTAATTGGTTAATATTTTCTTTTTCTTTTTAATATGCTTTGAGTCAACCTCTAATTTATATGTATAAAATTGAATAGATTATTATTACTATAAAATTATATGTTTCTATTGTAGTTAGATGTTTAATTTTGGATATAAATTAGATTAGTCGAGTCATTCATGTTGTGAGTATATTGAGTTAAAATTGAAGTATAATTACTTTTTATTTAGTTAAGTCCAATCAAATTAGTTATATTTATAGCTTAAATATACATATTTTCATAATATTTATTTATTCCTTATTTTAGTTAAGTCAAATCAAATTAGTTTTATTTATCGCTTAAATATACAAGTATTTTCATAATATTTATCAAATTATATGTTGATTTCTAAAAAAATATTTTTTAAAAAAGTGTAACTGATAAATTTTGGATGTTCATGAACATATATATTTTTATTATTTTTAAAATATATTATATTTTATTTAAAAATATATATTAATGGGCTATATTACTATTTTGTGAACTTTCCTTTTTAATAAAGTCATATTATATACATATATTTTCGTATTTAAATCTGTTTTAAAATTTTAGAAATATTTCCTTTTTATTATATATGTTATTTGGAAAAAGTAAAAAAGAAACTAAATAAAAAAATTAATAATAAACTTAAAATCTAACAATTCATTAAGGGTATCTATGTAATCAACCACCGCGAGAGTTAATGTGAGCGCGACACGTAGGAAACTGACTTCTCAAATAATATTATAGAGATATCTCTCTTTTATATAATAAATTAGTGGCAGAAGTCTAATTTCATTGTTTTGAGAAACGATTTATTTTTCCCTTAAGAATGTCAATTTCTATTATTCTGTGTAAATGTTCAACAAAATATATAGTATCTCTTAAGTTATTATTTAGACAAACTAATAAAAATTATAAAATATTAGTGAAGGTATAATAGATCACGTGAGCACTGCTAATATGTATAGAATACCAAAAGGACTGTGTTAAGGAAACAAAATTTGTAATAATTACGTGCATGTAAATAGTAATCAAGTAAGTAAGACTATCTGCATCAATAGTTTTTCACCATAAGTTCTCACAGAAGAATTTTTCAAAAGCTTGCGAGATTATTCCAAAATTTCTCAATACACATGCCTAAAAATCAAATACTGTCAATATAAAAATATTGCTATATCTTTTTCTTTTTGCTTAAAAAAAGTTACTATAAAGCTTCAGTTCAAAAAGAAAAGTGACTATATCTTTACAAACTGCTTTAAAAGATTCGGGATATAGCAATATGTTTGTGGGTGCCAAGTCTGCCACATGAGGAAATACGTGAAGGTAAGCATTTAGACTTTTGTCCCTTCTCATTTTCCCCTCCTTTACACTTGTTTTCTCACGTTACAAATTTACAACTTAAACTTGATCAGTATCAACATTAAACTATACTTTGTTAAAAAAAATAAACTGTATCATGTTTGATTCATAAAAAAAAAAAATCTTATATTATGTTTGGACTGAACGGCCAAGACCACAATTTCTAAGCTAAAACTTTCGTGAACCAGATCAATCCAAACTTTTTTTAAGATATGTTCGTATTTAAGCCGGGCCATCCAAGCCGATGGCTTTAACTATTAAGGTCCTAGCATTTAAACTGTATAAATTCTGGAAAGAGATGTGAATTAATTATAGTTAATGTCTGGGAAATGTTTCAGCTGAAGCTACTGCTACGGAACTTATTTTCTTTTTAGCATCGACGTCATATCTTTTGATAGTTAGTTGGTTCGCTCGACTGTTCGTTGAGTTTTACTTTCTATTTCTTTCTCTTTTAATTCATTTGTGCTATATTTAAAGTGTGAGATACGTACACATATATGCAAACTTTTAAATTCGTTGTTCGCATATTAATTTAAATATTTATATCCTTTGCTATAATATCTTAAGCAAGTTCATGTTTTAACACTAACATTTCTCAAAAGGCTCACCAATCAACCTTTAATAAAACGACTTACAAGTTTCATTGAAGATAGCTCGAATCATTTTACTTGGTTAATACAATTTAAAAGAGAGAACTACTATATTATAGAACTTTACCAAAAACTTGGTATCGTTTGGAGTTTAGTTATCAACCGTTAGTTTACTACTCCAGGGGTCTGGAGAGTATTGATCATGTGTTCATATTATATGGTATGGTTCGTTCAAAAATAATTTATATGGTATTGTTACCGATCGAATTAGTGCAAGTTCTTTAAAATTGTAAATTTGTAGTCTAACTTAAGAAATAATTATAATATTACGATCATGTTGGATATTTTCTGCAGGTACAGCTATCAAGCTTCAACTAATTATTCGGTGATGTAGTAGAATAAATAAGCGAACACACCCTGACGTAGATTTTGGCTTTTGCAGACACTAATTCATTGCTTGTTATACGTTGCATATACTAATACTATATATACACAATCATTTATTTATTTTATTAATCCTGAATACCTCGAACCTGTGAAGAGCACATACTAATCTTTAATGAAATATGTAGCCATAGATAGACATTATGTTGGATATCTAAATAGACCAAAATCAAGGGTCCAAATTTGTTATGTTTAGAAACAATATGACTTAGTTTCATATATCAGATGAATTGAGTTTGAAATGTGTTGACATCTTAAACACAATTTGCTTCCTTACCACTCAACTACGAGATTGGGCCATTTCAATTTTCTTCTTCCGATTTCATATTACATAGTTTTCACTTTAGAAATTAAGAGGTTGATTTGTAGTGTTTGTTGATGGTGATAACAATTATAAAGGGTTTTAATTTTGTGATATTTCAAAATATTTCAAAATCAAATTATTTTTGTTTTTTGAATATTTACAGTTACCGCTTTTACAAATTCTCGCATTCGCACCTATATCTTCCTTTAAATTAGTCAATTCTTAAAATATAATTAGCCCTCTGTTTTGATCTAACTACACACCAATTCAAGAAAGCTAGAGTGCTAATCAACAATTTTTTTTATGAAAAGATTTAGAGTGTCACTGGTGTTGTTAGAATAAAACGGAGTACAAAAGAGATAAAAACGGAAATAAAATGATAAAAAATAGAGTAAATTGACTTACCGGACTAACTCTAGTAAAATTAAAATAATGGTAAATGTATATTTTTCTCTGTTACAACAATAATTAGAGTAAATATGAGAAAATATTTCACCTCATTAGTAATATTTTAGTGAAATCTAGAATAACTTAAAAGTTAGAGTAAATATTTAGTCTAAAACTATAATCTATAACCGTCAACAACCACACTCTTTAATCAAAGTGGTCAACACAGATAGGTAACTAATTTTGTGTGTTAAGTTTATATATATATATATATATACATATATATATACACTTTAAGTTTACTTAGCAATAAAATGTTCTTAAAACTTATTTAATAACCAAATACTTAAAATTCATTAAAAGCGATACTGAATACTAAAACAAAGAGTAAAAATTATTTTTTTTTAAAAAAAACTTAAATGTACTATATGTTTCATCGACAAGTTAACCTAATATTTTTGTAGAAAGTAAATTCGCGTACTATTAGTTTACTTTGGGCAAAAAAACCGAACCCGAAAATCCGAATCGAAACCGATCTGATAAAAAAAATCCGAACCAATCCGAATCCTACATAAGTACCGAATGGATCTTGTTTTATGGTATTACGGGTTATGAATTCATTCGGAACCGAATCCGAACTTAAATGGATATCCGAAAGGACCTGAAACTTTAAATTACAAAAAAATGATACCATACCCAATCTAAATTTCTAATATGTTTTCAAAATACATTAATATATTATTGAGTACCTGGAATAATTAGTTATTATATGAATAATTAACTCAAATATTTAGTCTAATATATATAGTGTTATTTGGTTAATATTAATGTTTATGATTGACATTACATTTGAAGTTCAGTTACGAATAAATTTATTTTGAAGTTTTAATAATGTTGTTTTTTAAGTTTAATAGTATTTCTTATGTTCATAAACTTGTTAGTTGTTAACTTTAACTGTTTATGTTTCATTATGTATGATTTTCTTTCATATAATATTTTGGTTTGTCATTAATCATGATATATTTAGTGTTGTCACATATAGTTCAATAACAATTCTTATATAGTTGATAGACGAGTTTCACAAAATATATAAATTTTTATAATACCCGAATGGAGCTAAATACACAAATTTTTATAAGGGCTTTTTGCATAATTGACCTGAAACTTGAAGTCAACCACAAAACTAACCTCCTTTTTTTTTGGAACTTTATTTTGTCTAATTCACCCCACAAGTTCATATAATTCACGAAAATGCCATCAATTTGTTTTTTTTATTTTTTTTTCGAAAATGACATATTTACTCTCTCACCCTCATCATCTTCAAGTAATTACAAG